ATCCATAGATTGACACCTAAATCAAAATATGAACATAATGAGTACATTTTGGCACAAAATAAACATACGAGTGCATAAAATAAGGAGGAAAAATATGCATTTTACATTCCTATGAGATTGACCAAAGGAGATTACGAGTTTTTATTTAGATAAACACCATCTCTCACTCAATATTTTAAAGTAATGGATTTTAATTTTAAATAATTACCAATTGTTAATATTAATCAAATTAACATACAATTTAATTATTACGAGTTTTCCTTCCAGAAAACTTTAATCTAAATTAAATCAATCCAGAAAAAATTGGTGCCCAACGATATGCATCATATTCATAGTATCATGAGTGATATCACCAATAAATGTATGTGTTATGATGTCTAGAACGATGATATTTCAAACAATAATTTAAAACATTCATAAAGCGATAAATTAACAATTATTTGTGACCTAAAATGACTCAAGAATTAAATTAAAAAAAAAAATTGGACCCAAAACCAATATTTAATCTAAATCTCTAGCCCAAAAATATTCAGGAATCTAACAATAGCAATCCAAATAGCTATAGGACTCTACTACCGTACTTGTAAAAATTAAATTCCAATTTGACTTATCAAGATTTGATCCGATTCGCAAAAAAGAACCCGGATCAAAAGTCAACCCAGACCTGCACGACACGCACATTACTGGCTCTGCACACATACACAAGTCTGTCTGCACGTGCAAATAGTAGGTAGACAGTTTTTGCAAAAAGTAGGCAGACAAAAACTATTTGTCGTGCTCTGTCTGCACGGAAAACAACAGAAAATTTTAAATTGTCTGCAATTGCATTTTTTTTTTCAATTTTTTATGTTGTAATTTTTAGTTCTTCGTCATCTTGATCTTCAATCTTCAATCAATTTATAAGATTCAATAATTATAAGAATTACATAAATCCTATATTTCGTAGGCTCACAATTTTGAATTTAATTGAAAAGAAAATTTAATTAAGATTATGGAGTCTAATCGACCTATCTTGTTATAGACTTAAAATAACGAATTACATCAAGAGTTACCAACAAATAATTGGATCACAGTTTAAAATAATTTTATCATCACATAATAAAATATTGCTAGAAATCACATGACTAGAATACGCAATCAAGATTCAGAAATAACAAGCACGTGAACGATCTAGATTGCTTTGATACCAGTTGATGGAAAACGAAAGTAGAATTACTCGAAAATAAAAAAAAATTCTTTAATTTAAGAAACAAGATCGTTTAGATGTTTACCTGTATATTATATTAAGAATAAATTTCGAATTTTTACATAAATTCGATGATTAATTCTGAATCAAGAACTTCTAGCGTTTTGGATATCGAGTTTTTAGCTTTTTAATTACAAGAACTTCATACTCCAAACCTCCAAATCTTCTATGGTATTCTACAAAGTCGAGATTATATTGGTGGGTAGGCACCTTCTTTTAATTAAATCAAGAAACTAATTTTTGAACTGGACAATAAGAAAAATATTTTTTTCTCACTTTTTTCTCTTTCAAATTTGAACACTATGAAAATATGTATTATAGTTATTCTAGGATTCTATACTAATCTAATCTCTATTATAGAGATAAAGATGTTCCAATCCATGAACAATAATAATTTCAATTTCAAATAGAAGTTTTAATAAAATCCAAAAAGGAATTTTAATTAAAGTCCACGTCCAATTAGTTTAGATTTAATTACATATGTAGTCCTAAAACTTCAATTACAATTACAATTAAGTTTACAACTTTTATATCAATTACAACTAAGTAAAAAACTTTATATTATAAATACAATTAAAGCCAAAACTATTATAATTATCGCAATTAAGTCACAATACTTTATAGAGCTATCACAGGGACTTGATCGGACATATATTATTCAAGTTCCAATAATTAGATCAAGTCTAATCGACGCTAGACCACACAATCTAATTAATAGCCTTTGTTTTTTCACTAAAGGTAAAAGACTGAATTCTTTGAATATATAAGACCATAAAACCTAATAAATTTGTAATATATTCTCCTGACTTGCTGTATATATATTTTATCCCCGTTCAAGACTCGATAATTAGGTATTAGCATAAATGACTGTTTTGCCCTTCTAATTATTCTCATTGACTGAAGTGCAATTTCTTGTGAACTAATCACAGATGTCGAAATTTAGTTGCACTAAACCCTGAGCTCAGATTTTAACCGTTCAGCAGAAAATATTTAACTAGTCACTCTACTCATGTTTCAGAGTGACGATTATCTGCACGAATTCATGTTCTCTACTTCGCTCATTTTCAAGTTCCAACTCACTGAAATATTTGATCAANAACTCGACATGTGGTCCGTTTAATATACTCAAATTGTACTAATGTCACCTTTAACTATTTTTCTGATAAAGATAAATCACAAATCTTAATAATGAATCGATTAATACTATAACCTTTCGCTATAAGGTGCCAACCCTTGTAAATTGGTTGTAAACAAAATATTTATGATCAAATATAAGTTGTGTCACACTATACTTCTCAACACAAGTACCTAACTTATATTATTACAAATGAATGTAGACATTTTAATTCAAATACTCAATAATAAATATATACAAGAAATAAATAAAATTACACTATATTTATTATAAGCCCCTGTTCGATTCTCATTGAAATGAGAATATTTGAGCAAAATACATTTTACTACAATGATGATGAATTAAAAATTTGAAATCTGTCCATATATTTGTCAGATGAATAGAAAAAGCAAAATGCCCGTTCAGAAATTAAATGCCAAAAATAACATATTTTTTAAATTCAAATTACGCAATTACCTTTGGTCCATTATCTTAGAATTCTCTCCATTCAAGGGCAAAAAAGGAACATTGTGCACACTGTTTATCAATGGAAAGAAGTCAAATGCGTACGATAAGGTGTCTTTTGGGCCCACATTTGTTAGAAAATGAGAACGCTAAATTTAGCCCATATTTGATCCACATTCTTCCCCAAATTCATTCTTTTAATACTCATTTTTAACAATACATTTTTCAATAAAATAATATTACACGTAAATTCAAAATTTTTCCTTATTTTTTAACCATATATTTTCATCACATCACATCATAAAATGCATTTTCTTCTCAATAATGTGCATCAAACACCCCCTTATTTTATACTAACAAAATATATTGAAATGTCACACAACCCAATGGATATAAGTCTCACAATAGGTACCGAATGTCGAGGAGGGATCTAAAGGTGGAAGTAGCATTTGGGTTGGGGATGTCGTTTCTTTATCGGCTGTCCTGAGGTATTATGTCTATTTGTTTGTGACTGAAAGCAGCGAATACTATTCGAGGTTTGGCTTGAGCATAGCATTCATAGACGCTTGATCCTGATTCATTTCTCCATTTGACCAGTGACGGATCCAGCACCCGGCGAGCCCCGGTGGCCGCATGTGCTGGATTCATCGGGAACTGTTTTTTTTATTGACAATAAATAAATTTTTTAGGTTATATAACTGATAATTCATTTTATTTTCAAATATTTTTTGTAGCTCAGCTCGTTAGTACTTGCATATTCATATTGGAAGTCTTGGGTTCAAATTCCTTCCCAACCAATTTATTGTGAAATCTTTTTAGTTCTACAATTTTTATCAAAATTAATGCAATAGGTAGGGGATTTGAACCTGCGACATCTCCTTAGGATTATTGAAAACTTGACCATTATGGCACTTGTTGA